CACCACTTATCATCATCGCCACCACCAGTAAACACCATCATCACTACCTACACCACTTATCATCATCACTAGTATCATCAATATCATTCAATTTGGTATACATTGCATTTTACATTATTAGGCGATTGTTACCCAAAAATCCTTTTTCAAATCCTTGTTAATTGTTGTTTTCTTTAGCTAATATTTGGTGTGGCATCATCGTTTGCTAACAATATTATTCTTCTGGCTGTCCTGCGGTTTCTGGTGGGATTTGGCCTGACTGGAATCATGCTTGCACTTTACATTTATTCAATGGAGTTGGTTGGTCCATCCAAACGTACAGCTGTCGGGAACCTAACCTATGCATTTTACAACACCTTTGGAATACTATTCGTGCTGTTTACGTACTTCTTACCCGATTGGAGGATGCTCCTACTTGCTATTACCGTGCCAACAGTTTTGCTCTTTCCATTTTGGAGGTGATGTCTGATGGGGGATGTGGGGAGGGTGAGAGGGCTTAAGTTTTGTACCATATTTTTTTAATCCCCCAACCCTATTTAAGGGTAAATCAGGGTAAATCCTGTCTCCTTGTCAGGGTATGGCCGAATCGAAATGGTTGCGTTTTAAGCCAATGACAGTGTGCGAGAACTAAATATTTGTGAATCAAAGACGCGGTCATAGTGATAGAGTACTCGGGTTCACACGTGAGAAGAGGTTTTTGGGTCTCTTCGTTGATTCGTAGATTTTTCTTTGGGTACTTCGTTTTTCCTTCCTCAGGGTTCTATGAAATGTGAAGGAGAACTTTGCTCATTCAATGAAAAACGCTTCACCATCACTCAATCATGACCACGACCGCACCGCTAGTCTTCAAAATCATGAGACACCTGTCATAAACTAGCATACATTTCTCAATAGAGACCTATAGCACGACGTTCTTGCTAGGTACCGCAAACCTCAAACTGCAGTTCGAGGTCGGGTGTTTTCCGTCAAACCTTCGACATTCAGCGAGGCGTCATAACGAAGTTGTTGCTGGAAGAGCCGCCATATTGAATTTCATTAATGCTGAGTGTTTCTGTGTGTTTGCCGGCGTGTTTCTGGGCTTGATTCCTCGCGGTTAGTGGTAAACCTGATGCAAAAGGTCTCTATTAAACGGACTTGAAATTATATTGAGACGAAACAATAAAAGTATGTGTACAGCTTTAAACTTATTTATCCCCACAGGATGATACCCGAATCTCCTCGATGGCTAATCGCCCATAACCAGCTTGAAGAAGCCCATAGAGAGCTCATGCTGTACGGAGGCAAGAAAGACAAGCCCATAGATCCAAATATTCTAAAAACTCTGATCGAAGACATAAGAAAAGATCAGGTGTTAAAAGAGAAACGAACCAAACATTATACGCCCATCGACCTCGTTCGTACACCAAAACTGAGAAAATGGACAGCAATTATTTGTTATCAATGGTATGGTGAAAATATGATAAATTATATTTTTATGGGACATTTCGTAATGGACAACTATTTGTTATCAATGGTATGGTGAAAATATGATAAATTATATTTTTATGGGGCATTTCGTAATGGACTACTTCTACGATACCGCGGCCACCTTGCCAGGGGCCAAAACAAAACAAAGATGACGGAAAACATATAGAGTTTCGTGTGTTTGTCTTTATTTTATGAGTAAAGGTGATCGATTTGCTGTCTTATTTTTTTAATTTTCAATTATCTTTTGTGGTATTATATTGTATATTGTGGTGAGTTGTAATCGACGTCATTTCTCTAACGAACCCCCTTTTTTTCCCCCTGGACGCCCCATAATGCCTTGCGATTCAAGATGGCCGCCGTATAGCCGAAGTATTCCATTAAGGGAAGTCCATTCCACCCGGAGCCCAAAACCTCAACCCGATGAGGGAAGGCGGTAGGAGTACTCCACTGAAACTTCCGACCTTATTCCTATCCTATTCCCAATAGAGGTTTTGCATCATCACGTGACGGCAGCCATTTTAGATGGCCGGAACAATACAGTTGTCAATTCCCAAGAGCAAAGGGATTTTATTGTTCTGCCATCTAACCACAGGAAGCCCAAGCAGGATTATGGGATGGGCATGTGATGGTACAAAACCTTTATACTTCTATAAAACAAAGCAAATACCAATATTTGAATTGATTTTCTTTACTATATCGTCAATAGTAGGCAACTTCAAATTAAAGTGACTTCATCAAGTACTCGTGCCACACGCGGTCTTTCTCCTTTAATCCTAAAATCTCATTCAGTTTGAGAATTGCTTAATTTATCTTTTTTTTTGTATTAAAGGTTTGTAGTGGCGTTTGTTTATTTTGGGATTTATTTGTTTCTCACTCAACTGGCTGGTAATATCTATGTGAACTACACCATCATGAAGAGTGCCACATTACTTCGAGTGCCCGCAACATGGTTAATATATCTGAAGTAAGAGTACTATTCAGGTTTTCTCTTCGTAAAGGCGCCATTTGTAATACTTTAACTCGCTTTTTTCTTAGATTTGGTCGTCGTATTAGTTACAGTTTCTTGATTATGAGTGTTGGAATAACGTTATTGCTTGTCCTAGCCGTTCACGAAGGTAAGATACGAACACCTTAGAAATCTCCAACGCTATGCACACTGACACCTTACAACTATCCAACACCATCCACACTGTCACCTTACAACCATCCAACACCATCCACACTGTCACCTTACAACCATCCAACACCATCCACACTGTCACCTTACAACCATCCAACACCATCCACACCGACACCTTACAACTATCCAACACCATCCACACCGACACCTTACAACCATCCAACACCATCCACACTGACACCTTACAATCATCCAATACCATCCACACTGTCACCTTACAACTATCCAACACCATCCACACTGACACCTTACAACCATCCAATACCATCCACACTGTCACCTTACAACTATCCAACACCATCCACACCGACACCTTACAACCATCCACACTCTCACCTTACAACCATCCAACACCATCCAACATTTGCATTCCAGATGTTCCTCTAGCCACAACGGTACTTTCTCTTCTTGGTTACATTTTCATCGACTGCAACTGGACGGGGGTTTATCTGATCACTTCAGAACTCTTTCCAACAGTGCTGAGGTAAGCAATAAAACAATAACGTATAGTAAATAAATATGATACTAAATAAATAATGAATTTTTACATATTGGATTGACGGATAAATGGATGTCCATTTTACACTCAATATTGTCTGTCTATTCACTAATCACACTAATACAGGAACACCGCTCAAGGAACAGGATCCACAAGTGCTCGTTTGGGTGGAATCTTATCTCCTTATGCAGCTATGATGGTAAGTGTCTTCACTCTGCTCCATATGGTAAATAGTGCTTATCCATCTTTCTGCTTTACTTGTAACAGATGGTAATGGATGATAGTCATTGGTGGTTGGTAATGGTAATACATAATGGTGATTGTGATGGTAATGGTAATAGTAGTTGATGATGGTAGTTGGTAATGGTAATAGTAATGGATGATGGTAGTTGGTAATGGTAATGGTAACAGTAATGGGTGATGGTGATGGTAATGGTAATAGTGATACATGATGGTGATGGTGGTGGTGATGGTGATAATATTGGTAACAGTAATGG